GTTTCAAAAATATATAGAAATCACCATGATTGCACCATTATTTCAAATAAGAAATTAGTGGAACATATTTTGTAGCAAGATAAATTCCTCAGGCTAGAATGATTGGATCCAGGCTTCTTGGAATACAAATGTTTAATTAAATGTAAAATAATCATGACACTAATTAGTTGGCCACAGTTCAAAAATAACCTCTTCCTTCTCTTCTGAGGTTGTATAATGTCTACGGGAATAGTAAGCTAAAGGGGTGTATGCCTATTATGGCACTGTGCCTGACAGCTAATATATATGACATTTCATAATCAATATTAAAACCACACATAAAGATGAAGAAACTGAAGTTCAGAGGGTAAAGAAACTTGTTGGAATGAGCAGTAAAGTTGTCATGGGATTGAGGCATACTTTGCACACCTAAGAGCTAAAACACGAAGATCATAAATTCAAACTTCACTCGGGAAACTTAGAAATTTAGCAAGACTTTGCCTGAAAATAAAAAATTTAAAAAGGGCTAGGAATATAGTTCAGTTTAAAGGCCCTGGATTCAACCTCTAGTACAGCAACAACAATAATAATAAAGCACAGCACATTAGCCTGTATTTTTATAATTTTATTCAATAGCTTCAAGAACTCTAAAAATTTTATTACTTTCCTCATTTTCAGAGCAAGGAAACAAAAACTGAGAGGCTGTTAAGTACCTTATTTTGGTGTAATTCTTTAGTACCAAGAACACAAAGTATAAATGTGTATGGTCCCAAAGTCTTTTTCCTTTCTATCCCATCACAGTTGTCTTGTGCTTCTTAATCATAAAAGCTTTTATGAATTTGTTTCTGATTATAAAATTAATTCATGCTTTATCACAAAGAAACAATAAATATTTGAGCTGATGGATATGCTAATTTACCCTAATTTGATCATTCTACAGTATACTGAAATACCACACTGTGCCTCATAAATTTGTACTATGTGCTAATTTAGAATAGAAAAAAATAAAACATTTAAATGTTTTAGATTATATTTATTTCCACATTTGAAATGGCTAAAAAAAGATATGGGTGCAATTTCAAGAATGTACACTGACTAGAAATAGTTATATACAAAATTTTCTAATTAAATCAAGAAGTAATACAGCCAGAATAATATCAACATATAAAATGATATTTTATAACTATCTGATAAATTGTTGACGTTGCTTTGTTCCTAATTGGTCAGAGCCTATCATTTCTTGGCCTTTTGGTTAAGCTAAATTATAGTATCAGAGCCTAATACTTCTTGTGGTGGAAATTTTTTGCATTTTTGAATTTTTTATTGCATTTATTAGTGCAATTTCTTTGTTATATTAAATGTTATACAGTTACAAATAAGATAAAAAGATATGTAAGAATTATTTTTCATGACACATTAAATGACACATTAAAAAATTCTGTGACACTGCAACAGAAAAGTTCAAACTATAATAATTAAAACAAACAACATTAATTAAACTTTATGCCTTTGCAGGGTTAGGTGAAGGATAATAAACCATTTAAAAGTTTTAAAAATTAATTTATGTCATTTTTCATCTTATCAAAATAACAGATAAGTATAAAAAGGCAAAAATGACCTCCAATGACATCCTTAATGAAAAACTGTTCATACCTAATTAGTTTTATTTCACTGAAACCAGAAATATCTACATATATACACAGCAGCAAATGCATTTTATGTAAGTAGAACTATGCTGGATATTTATGTTTTTATGTAGTAATATTTGACTTTCACATTGTATCTGTGGAATGAGGATAAGACATCCCATTCTTTTTTACTGAACGTTTACAGTGAACAAGCACCAGTTTTTATTGTCTATGAATTCTCAAGTAATAGTAACTTCTACATTTCTGAAATTTTAATGATGCTCAGGGAAGTTAAAATATTTGTCAAAGTCAATCAACCAGAAATGAGTAGCACCCAATACTCAATTTTCCTATGAAGTTACAATGCATGTGATTTAGTGACAGAGGGAGGTCAGCACAGGGAAGTGGGAAATGAGTCATTCCTCTGTACTGCTGCCTCTTTCCAGGGCTTCCTGGAAAACTGTTTCTATGTATTTTCAATTAGAAAGTGAAGCACAATAAAAAGGGGCAATAAATCTGATGGGATAAAAGGAAATAGTGCAATGTTCTCGCCTGCAAATTCTTCTTATAGCTCATACTACAACTCAAAAGTATTACCTGATACATTTCATTTCTTGTTACTACAATTAAAAATTGTAACAATTGTATGTTTGTTTTACATCAAAGTCTCTCTTATGGCAGAGGAAAGTCACAGTTAGCAGAAATATATTTGCATAAGTGCCTGCCTTGCAAGCAAGCAGTCGTGAGTTCGATCCCTAGTACTGAGAAAAAATGAAAAAGACAAAAAAAAAAAAAAAAAAAGAAATATATTTGCTAAAGTTATACTACACTCTTTAGTCACTATCACAAAACAACTCTATGCAAAAGGTATCAACCTGTGTCTTATTTTGTGGTAACCAATTTCAAAATGACAAGGAGTAAATGACAGAGAGCTTTCCAGAATCACACATATAGTAGGAGGAAGGAATGGAGTTCTCTCCCTCACTCTTTCTAGCCATCCTGGAGCAGCCATTCTTTTAAAAATTTATTATATTTTTTAGATTAAGTTTATTGGACATAGGCTTCCAGGCGTTGAGACCTGGTGAGTTTACACTTCCCTTCTATGGTGGCCCCAAGGGGCTCCACTCAGCAAACTCTCCCAGTGATGAAGATGAGATGAAATCCTACCTCATGTGCCAAGAGACCTAATATAGGACTGAAAAAGGCTGATTCTTGAAGTACAGAGTGGGCTTGGGCAGATTATCAGGATTTTAAAGTTTGGCAAAGTGATCTGGAGGATGGAAATGAACATCAAAATCATTCTATATCATAGCAGCTTTATGTCTTATCCTTTTAATATTTAAAATAAATATGCAAAGTACAGATTACTATATGCTTCCTAACCAACAGTTTAAGCCAGTAGAACCAGGTCACCAATATTTTAAATTACTGACCAAGGATATTAAACCTGAAATTGTTCTAAAACTCAAGTTTGTCCCACTGCGTCCTGACACCTCATGGGCTCTCAGTGCTCTACAGCTAATCTCCCAGTAGACTAGCAATTACTGCACTCTAGTGTATTCTTCAAAGAATTATAATTAATGACATGCTCTTTTAGTGATTAACATTAGTAAGATTTCAAAACATTTGCTTTGCAAAAATGATAAAAAGAAATATAAATTGAGAGAAATTGTTCACATATAGTATTGTGTAGATACCAAGTTAATGTTCATGATATAAATGAAGGTGAACATAGGCTCCCAATTTGTGTCTGTTAATGTGGTTTTACTCAAAAAGAGTCAATTCAAACAATAAATTAAATGGTCACTTTCAATGCAAAGAATTCTTTTTGGCTAGTAAAAATGGACAGAGAATGACTTTGTATTTTCATAAAAAGAAATATGTTTTTTGGCCCTGGGTATGGTGATGCATGCCTGTAATTCCATCACTGAAGAGGCTGAGGCAGGAGGATTGCCATGAGTTCAAAGTTAGTTCAGGCTATGCAGCTGAGTTTGAGTCCATCCTGAGCTATACAGCAAGACCTTGCAAAAAAATCCTAAGAACTAACATATTTTTGTTTCCAAGAAACCCATGAAATGATAACCCAAATACGATAACAAAAGAAAAAAATTTAAGGTTTCATAAGTGAAAAAAAGGAGAGGAACCTATTAACACATCTCTTTTGTTGATGAATAAGTATGAATAAATGTACATCTATATGTATATGTATATATATATATATGTGTGTGTGTATGTATTTAGACCTTTTGCATAAGGGTATTTATACATTCTGGCATATCATATAAAGATAGAAACATATTTAAAAAGCTATAAGCTCTCCATTAAAAATGTCTGTTTGGGGAAGGTAAATAAAGCATAGCTTTATTTCCAATCAATGTTTCTATACAGCATAATGTCCTTAGCAAACAAATATATCAATTTTGTAATTCAAAAATGTCATCAAAATGTAATTATCAAAACACAAGAAAAATTAGTTGAAAAGTTGATAACAATCTTATGCATACAGCTGACGTTATAGAACTATTCACTTAAAATATATTCACTAGTAAAGATAGATTATATACAATGTATAATATGATCAGTCTCATTTACTATTAATATGCCTGTGTATAAGTGCATGTTATAAAGCAAATGTTTCTAGTAGGATATGACTCAAGATTAAAAAATAACCCCACACAACCAATGTACAAGAGACACTCACATTGGTCCCACTCTCTTCACGGAGTCAGAGATACAACTTCCTGCCAGGAGATCAAACACCAGGCAGCAAGTGATTTTTTAGAATGAGCTGTCTGTGCCACTCAAGTCCCCAGCAAGTCCTGTTTGGTGACTAAAGTGTGAGGCTCCTCCTCCCCAAATCCTTCCCAGGCCTTTCCCCAGAGATATTCAGAGACTTAATTCTGGCTTTGACCAACAAGTGGCAATTACCTCACTAGACCATCTTTGCTGTAATTGAAAAGCATGGATTTCTACAATGAAAAATACTACTGATGGTGACAGACTATGAAATGAAATGTGTATTATCATTCAAGGTAAAAGAGTTTTTGGAGAGATAAAAGAAAATATAAAATAAAAATAGCCTTTATTCCAAGGAAGTGGAAAGAATTCCATGATCACCTGTGGCCTGGCTTTCTCTGGCTGGAATGTGGGGCACGGGATGTATTTTTAACCTCTGACTAGGGGTGGGGGGGCATTGATGAGGCCCAAGGAGCTGGGTGGAGTTTTCTTCCTGCGCAAAAAGGAAGAGGAGTTGCAATTAAGGCTAAGGAAGAAGCAGAAAGTGCTAGGCCTCTCTGCTTTGGCCTTCTGCAGTGTTAGACCACGGCCATAACCATACAGTAATTTATTCTAGGGCAAGAACCTTTCACAAGGTACATTCTTTTTTCCCCCAGAGTCTGTTGCAATACTAGAGGACAGAATTGGCTGACAGGACCTTGAGAGGGCCAGAAACCCTTTTGCCTCCATACCTAACAGGGGAGCAGAACTGCGCACCTCATCTCCACCAAGAAATGGAAGGTCCAAAGTACATTCGAAAAATGTATATGCCTAGAAAACTGTCAAAAAGTGCATTCTATTTTATCTGCTGATAGCTCCCAAATCTGCATCTCGCTAAATTCATTCATTTAAGAAATACTTCTTATTTTATTAGTACATGTTTGCAATACGTCATGATTGCATTCAGCTTGGAGGATTGATATGTAAATGTATCACGTTTTGATTGTTTTAACTCTCCCTCCTTCCCAAATCCCTTCCCATCCCTACAGAGTCTGCTTCTCTGTTTCTTAACGTTTCTTTTATTTTGTGTTGAAATTATTTATATTTCTTTCATATTAGAGAAATTATACAGTATGTAACTTGTCTCTGACTTATTTCATTTAGTATTATGGTCTCACAATCTATCAATTTTCCTACAAATTACTCAAATTAATCCTTCTTTATGGCTTTGTAGTACTTCATTGTGTATTTTCCTCTCAGCTGTGTTGCATTTCTATACAAGATTTCTTCAGGGATGAAGTCATGATTTGATGGATCAGTCAGCTAAATTTTATGGTTAGCTCTTCCATCTGCATTTTGCCTCTCTACGTTTTTCATTTTGCCAAGCTGGTTATTGCTGAACCATGATTTTGCTATACTTCATGATCACCTTTATTAATATGTTGTCCTCAGATATAGCCAACATGACTCACAAAACATTACTGAAGAGTAAGTCAGATGCAAATAAATTGAACAAATCTTTATTGAGATATAAATATGATTCAGACATGATGAATTCTCAGAAAAGGTAGTTTCCATTGAGCCCTTTATTCCAGAACAGAGTAGTATGTTTCTGAATTGTTTGGGGAACTACCTCATTCTTGATCTGTACAACTTAGAGTCACTATTGTTATTTATGTTCAATATATATTTTTTCAATATCTTTTTTGAAAAACAGAACTTTATAATCATTTTATACATTTATTGGTTCAAGTTGGAGCATACTTTTCAAGTGCTCAGAAACTTCTCGAAAGTTGGAGCAAGATAGAAACAAAGAGAATAGAACCCAGAGCTTGCCACTAAGCCACACCCTCAGGCCCTGTATTCTTATTTTACTTTCTGTATGTTAACATGAAAACAGTTTTCCCTTGTTCCCTCAAACACAGTATACTCACAGGAACAAGAGCAGTATGTTCGTTTCTGGAGAGACTATTTCAGTCAGAACAATCTAGAACCTGTGGCATGCCTACCATATTAACTCTGTGACAACTTTCAGTATATCCCTTCACCTTTTTCTGATCTTACCTTCTGAACTTCATCTATGCTGCCATTCTACCATCCACGATTATGCAGGATAAAAGTGAGATCTATATCATAATCAAATGTCAGTAACTGTAGAAAATCAATAGATGATGATATCAAGAACTGGATTGGAACTAACTGCTGCTGATGGCCTAGGCCTTGTCCTCAGTAGCTCAGGTTTATGAGAAGGATGTAAAAGTTATTTTAAAATTACTTTTGGTTGTCATTTTACTAAAAAATTAAACACACACAAACACGGTATTCAAACAGACTTCACTCAGAAGTCCCCATCAAACTCAAGTATGACTATTCCCTTAAGAGATACCATCAAGCTGGGGATTTAGCTCAGCGGCATAAGCACCTGCCTTGCAAGCAGGCAGTCGTGAGTTCGATCCCCGGTACCGATTAAAAAAAAATAAAAAAATAAATAAAAAAATAAAAAAAAAGAGATACCATCAAGCTGCCCTCCCATCTTATCTAGAGTGTCCCACTTTTCTCAGTCAGATGCCTTTTCTCTACACTCAAGCAACAATATATTAGTGTATTATGTTTCTGTGCTTTTTCACCAACACCAAAATTTAAAGCAAAACACATAATTGGTCTTCATATAATACCTACACTGTGATGAACCCATACACCTATGCAATGAAATTATCATTGATTGTGATACAATACTGACAAGCGGATTCTCAATGAACTTCCAGTCTTCACAAGAACACCAAGGTCCTTATTTTATGGTCATATCCAAAACTTTAGGTTTAACTTGATTCATTCTTTAACTTTTGTCAGGCATAATCCCAACTCAAAGCAAACCATATTTCTATTTTCTAAACACTTCTATATAAATATATCCCATATTGCCTTATCTTTGTACATGACATTATTATATAAAACAGTTTTCTTATTTTAAATGCTCCTTTCAAAGGGTCTCACATGCAAACTATTTAAATGCATCTTTGTGCAATTCTTTAGAGAAGAGCCGAAAGAAATGAAAAGCTGAACAGTATGATATAATAAATCATAGCATATAAAATTTTGAGAGTTCTTGATAGTGACATTCCACTCATTTTCACAAATAATGAAATGGAGCTCAGAGGTTCAGTGACTTGGCCAAAGAGAGTTAATAAATGAGAGAAAAAGAACTATGATCTTTCTACTATGTCAGAAATAAACACATGTATTTCCGTTTTGTTACAGACTGACATAGTAAGAAAACATCAACTAGTTTAAAAATACATCATTTTTTGGAGACCGTGCAATATCCTGGAAGATTCATGGAGCTGGCAACCAGAAGGACGTGTGTTTCTATTTCTCTTCTTAATGTATGTCCCAGGTCAAGATGCTCCATTTCTATGAACAATAGTCTAATATATGGAAAGGAGGTGACAATTTCCCACTTTAGAAAAATGAATGATATACAGACTCGGTAAAGTATATAAAGGAGGTATCACAGTGCCAAGAACATTGCAGATATTCAGAGTGGCTTCTGTTCCTTTTTGGGCAATACAAAAATCTCCAGTTGAAATCCTGCCAGGGACCAGAGTAAGACATACTTAGAAAAAGCATTGCCTCTATATGCTTTGTACATTTTATAGGTATAATGTCTACTTTTGTATAATTTTATGGGTGAGTGTCTTCTTAAATTTTATGCTGTACTTTCTTTACTCACCTTATTCTATTTTTGGATTTCATTGAGAGGCCTATAATAACAATAATGGTTAAAATTTACTGATCACTCACTTTGTTAGACACCATGTCAAGAAGGCTTCATCTCTTTAGGACTTCCCTTCCACCTATTAGCATAGGTAGTATTGCTATCCCCTGTTCAGAAGTAAGGAAACAGGATTAGAATGTTAATTTACACAAGATTTAATGGTTATTAGCAAAGTTGTGGTGATAGACTGTTTCCAAAATGAATGCTATTAATCACTTATGGACTGTGCTATTTGGTTACTGAAATTATGTTGAAAGAAATAACCCACCCCAGATGCTCAACAATGAGTCAGTTGCCATATTTCAGATCATATGATTCTACTTGCTAACATTCCTCAAGCAAATATATTGTTTTGCATCATTATTTTGCAATATCTTATATTTTCAGTATCTGAAGAGAAAGTTCTCTAGAATTAACCTAGTGTTATGGTTTGTGCCTAGATGCTCCCCCCCCAAACTCTATGTGGTCATAGAGCTTTTTCAGAGGTGGCTGAATCTAGAGTGTTAAATTGGTTAGTACTGCAATGCTGGGATAAAGGGTGGATGATTGCTGGATCAAACCACTGACTGAACTGCCACTGCCCTAATTCTGGTAGATGGAATACAATACGTGGGACAGAAGGAAGCGTCTCTCTCTCTCTATGCACTAATGTTAAATAGAATCTTAAAGTTTTTGATTAACTTTTCGTCTTCAATTTTATTATACCTTGTAAATAACATCTATCCATGAAGAAAAAATACAAAAGACAAAAATCTAAGCTGGGCATGATGGTGCACTTCTGTAATCTTAGCACTAATGGTGCTGGGGCAAGAGGACTGCCTTGAGTTCACGGACAGCCTGGACTGCATAGTGAGTCAAAGCTAGCTCGAACTACATAATGAGATCCTATCTCCCAAAAAAAATCTATACGTCCTTCATAATTCTATATTACAACTAATACATTTTCTTATAACAAACAATTAGATGAATGTTGTATAATAATTTTCTAATTTCTGTTGCTAAAGGGTATGCTTTATACTTGCACTTAGAATAGACCTAGCTCATTTTGAGTTTTACCTCTTTGTGCTTCTGAAATTCATGTTACTAGTGAGGCTTTTATTAACAGAGATCAATGATTAGTTTGATGCATATTCACGAGTGCTTGTACATGTGTGTATGTGCATGTGTGTTTTTGTATCTCCCTATAACACTAATCTACGTCTCTGAATACCCTATACACTGGTAGGCATTTCTGGTGTTTTCCTTATCTGTCAGTAAATCAGAGGTAAGAACCAAAATTAGGCATTTAAATTGATGGATTTTACTGTTTCCATGCTTTTGTGCACAACCTTAACTATTTTCTTGGGGTACATTTAAAGACATAGAATTGCTGTCTCAAGTGGTATACACATGCTTAATTCAATTCCACACCTGCCACCCAGAAATGCTGTACCAATTTAAAGTCCATATACTGGAATTAAGTGATGAAAAACCTCAGGGAAGTGAAAAGCATGGTTGTACTGTGTTCTGATAGAAAGTTAAATCATAATATCCCATTGAACAGAAGATCTGAGACCACAATAACAGTAAATACACCTCCAAGTAGATAATGGTAAATTTCAGCATGTTTTGAAGTAGTGCAGGAAGTAATTAACAGTAAAACCACAGGACATAGTCACCCTGAATTACTGTTACAGCTTGATAATCAATATATAAAACTGATTTTAAATCACTGAATTATTGAGATAAAATGTTCTTGCAGATTGACACTATATTTACCCAAAGTTCATCTAAATTCTCCCTGAACCTCTATTATTCAGAGATACTCCAATGTTATTCTGAGATAATGCAAAGTTATTCTGAGATATTCCAATTTCTTTCCTTCACATCTCATCAAAAAAGATGACTGTTTTTCCATTATTCAGAAGAGCTTTCTGAAAGGTAAATCTTCATTCTCTTCATTTCATGAACATTCATTGCCAGATTCTATGACAAAAAGAAAGTTGCTTATATTTTAAAGAGTGTTGCAAATGTCTATTGAATTTTG